ATACACAAATACAGTTACAAAGATTATCATACATAGCAGCATATGTGTAGGAACCTAGGATAACCCAAAAAAGTCAGACAGAGTGACTTATTTCCATTGGGGTCCTGGGTGTTAGTCAACTGGTGTGGGTCCCAGCTTGGGATAAAATTGACCTAAATTTCCTGAAATGCTCTGCAAAACAGGGAGCTTTCTATATAGTAGTATGTCATTGATGTCAGCTAGGACTGTGCACCTTGTGCACGTATTAAATAAAGATATTATTATTATTATTATTATTATTATTATTATTATTATTATTATTATTATTATTATTATTATTATTATTATTATTATTATTAAGAAGCCTGCTGCTCAGGCGAAAATTTTCGACAGTTGAGATTTCCAAGAGCTGCACATGTGTTTTATTCATCAACTCGTCCGTATTGAATACTATTAATAATGTAACCTTAAATGAGCAAAAATAAATTGAATGTTCGTACTGTACAATTTTTTTTTGTATTGTAATTAATGAAGGAGTCGGAGGGCCTAAACTGATAATAATAATAATAATAATAATAATAATAATAATAATAATAATAATAATAATAATAATAATAATAATAATAATTATATATTATATAATATATTATTATTATTATTATTATTATTATTATTATTATAAAATACATTGCCCTGACAGTGGTAACATGTATTTTTCGCCACTGAAGGGAGGGAGGGTCCTAGGTGCTGGTAAGGGGTCTTGATTGAGGGAATTAGAATTGTATTTCACTTCCTTGGATCAAACCGATTAACTCCCACTCCTCCACGCGCTGTATAACCCAACGAGTTTAGCGCTTCTCTTAAATATAATAAAATAATGTGCTCTGCGCGCCTCCTACATTTTAGCCGGTAGCATGACCCCTGTGTGTGTGCCACGGTGATGGGTCAGAAAATATGTATCAGTACGGTCAGTACTGTGTTATTGAAGGGAGCTGTCATGCCATGAGTGCTCTATCAACAATAATTCAGGAGACTCGCGACTCATAGCAGATGGTGGTTGGGGAGATTTAAGTAAATGCTGTTGAGTACATATTTAGGTCTGTGTTTACTTAGGACAAACAAGAGGATTAGGTGTAGAGCTGGTTAGGACTGTAGAAAGAGTATAAGAGGTTGTGAGGGTTAAGAAGGCGTCAGGTAGTCTTTTCCAGCTATGTCGTCCAATCTAGTATACTGTATCAACTTGTTTGTCGTTGAGCGTCTTCCGAAGGACGTTCACCCTGTTGTGGAGGGACTCATTTTTTGTGGCGAAGTCCTGCCACCTCACGTTGAACACCCAACATAATGCCTTGTTCTGGCCTCACTGCACTGGTTGTCATGGAGATAGTTAGCAGCAGCATGTATGTGCTAAGGGGCTTGATAAAGCGTGTATAGCTGGGTGGAAGGGTTATTGCCTTTGATTTTGTATAGGCCTCTGAGAGCAGTGCCTACACTCGCTTGCTTGGTGTTGTTAAGTGTATGTATCCGCAGGACGGAGTTGAGGGTGACACCAAGTAAGGTGATGGTGGTGGAGTATGAAATGGGTGTTTGTGTGGTTGCGATGCCAAGTTCAACCGGAGGAGAAGTATCTCCTGCCTCAATTCACCTGATTGCAGTATGTAAGCCACATCTCCATGCATATGCTGTACACTTCGCAAGATTGACGGACTGAACACATCGATCCCAGGCTGAGGGAGATTACCTTAAACTCCTCTACATATTCTACTGTTCTTTTCTGTATTGGACTGAAAAAGCCACTGGCTGGCGAAACGTTTCCACAGTAAAGATCCCCAAATATTACACGTGTCTCATTCTTCAAGGGGGTGAAGGTTAAGGTGTGTGTGTGTGTGTGTGTGTGTGTGTGTGTGTGTGTGTGTTGGGGCGAGCATTTGTGGTGTCTATGATGGAGCCGTGAGAAGTGGAGAGCTTAACAGCCATGCTGCGGGGATAGAAGGGCAGGGTGAGAAGCTCCTGGAAATGGTATGGTGATACCGAGGCTCTATCTGGACGATGCAATCTGAGGAGGGGTGTTTGGTGATGAAATCAGAGGGTCGTGGGCGTTTTGGGTGGGGTGAGCCAGGGAAGGTGTTCCTGGAATTAAGTAGCTGTACCAGGCGCTTGTGTTCCCGTATTTGGCGTTCTATGGTAGTCCAAGCTGAGTGTGTACTGACCAACCTGGAGGCGGAACATATGTGAGTGATGGTGAAGGAGGAGGTGTGGGTGTTGTCAGAGAAGCACCAAACCCGTAGGGTCATTCAGCGCCTGTGGATTATGAGGCTATCAGGTTCGATTCAAGGAAGGGGAGGATAGGTTCAATTCTTTGGCATCGAGAGCCTCTCATTTGCATCAAATCACCCCAGTGGAAATAAATCACTTTGACTTTTTGGGGGGTTATCCTAGGTAATTTACACTATGTATGATAAGTGAACTTATGTGTACCTGTGCCTAAATAAACTTACAGCTCCTTAAGGGGGGTTGTCGGACTTAGAAGAGGCCAAGGTAGAGGTGGAGTAATCTTACTGTAGCCAGTTGGCCCAGTGCTAACGCGTCAGTCTGGAGTTTTACGACTCACTAACCGCGAGTTCAATCCCACCCGTACTGTGATCAGAAATTGACGATGTTTAGAAAGTTATTTGAAGCGAGGAATATACACTGTATTGAGGTTTGTGGTGTAGTTGGTGTTGTATAGCTTGGCGATTTTCTTGTCTAATTGCACAATAACAATGATAATAAAAGCAACAATAATTTTAATTTATCGTAATTATGCACAGCATTTCGGGCAAAAAATTCCGATTTCGGGTAATACCTAATAGCTATTATCTACGCAAATAATGAAGCTACATTTTTCTCTGAGCCACAATTAACGGACGAAGGATCGAGCCTCTATCACTTCTTGAGTCGAATGGTCTGTAAAGGTTTAGTGCTTCATAAAATAATAATACACTTATGAAATGTCATATTAGATCAGGATAGCTGCACGTTACTGTGTATCTGTTTCAAAATGTTCATAAAAATGGGCCAAATGGATCTATCCTTTCTAGAATCTGCGGAAATAACTATATAAAGTGACTGAGACATTAGACAAGCTTATTAGCGGTAGTAATGACACTGACAATGGCAAATATAATTCCATAAAAAGCAGTAAAGTAAGCAACTGACATAAGATTAACTGACTGTATATACTACTTTATAGAAGACACCTTGTTATGCTGAGCATTTATCACAGGTAGTTTGTAAGCAATAGTTAATCTGCTAGAAATGCTTTTCATAGCAAGGAGCCGGTGTCTGTGCTAAAACCCGTCACAACGAGCCGTTCGATCTCCGCGGTGACAATTCGAAATTTTCTTACACCTATTGTCCTGTTCACAACAGCAAATAGTACTGGGTGTTAGTCGACTGTTGTGGTCCATCTGGGACCCGGTTCAAGGACACCCAATGTAAATAATAGAGCATGCCTCGATGACGCACTGACTTTCTTGGTTATCCTGTGGCTAACCCTCCGGGTTAAAATCCGAACGAAATCTTATCTTATCTTATCAAAACAGAAATCGCTGTAATCTCAGAACTGTATCAATAAATATTGTGTTGTACACTATTGCTAGGTGCACGAAAGCATTTATAGTACTAGGGGGAGAGAGCACAACTTTGTAGTACCCACAGTCAGTGGCCAGGCTTCAAACACCTTTTATTGTACAGCAATAAAGGATGGAACAGACTGCCTGCACATGTCAGAGCCAGTCATAGCATCAACCAGTTCAAGAAGACTGCCAAAAGGTGTCTGATGAATGTAGCTACAGAAAGGGAGGGGAATGATTTTTTTATTTTTTAGCTAACACACGTGTAATTTTACCTTACTCCTAGTAATGACCCTCATATTGTAGATAGTCTTAATGACCCTCGTGTAGTAGATAGTCTTTTTAGTGTGATAATAAGATGTTATCTCCATTATATAATAAGAAAATATTATAACCTTTATATTATAATAAGGTAAAAGGACCCCAATGGAAATAAGTCACTCTGACTTTTTTGGGTTATCCTAGGTTCTCTACATATATGCTGCTATGTATGATAATCTATGTAACTGTATTTGTGTATACCTGAATAAACTTACACAACCCGGTTGCATTCATTTTTATATTAAAAATGTATTAATAATCATAACTTGAAGAAATATACATATATTTTCTTACAGTTGGCAGAATTATTACACCGACTTTTCTTCAGGATAATTGTGATGTACTTAGACTAGAGGTTTCTTTATTATACCACACATGGAAGTAACAAAAAATTCTTATTCGTGAAAGGATCTTTAATATAATTATTTACAACATTTGTGACACTTAAAAGGATAATGAGTATAAATTCTATTAATTATTTCCTTCAATATGTAATTTTTTAGTAGACTTCTATATATAATTATAACTGAGATTAACTTATTGTAACACATTGTTTCACTGATGTATATTACATGTGTCACTGGATGTATATTGAAATAGTGTTGATGGCATAAGACCAGTTATTATATTCATATTATTGAAAAAAAGTTACATTAAATCCATGATTTAAGTAATGCTCATTTACGAATCATTATTATTTTCATCCGTGTTATAATAACATGTTAATATATTTAGTAGTACTGCAAAATGCTAATAGCACGGTTTATTGCAGCTAAATAATTTTTTCCCAGGAGAAAACAAGTCAATAGCAGACGATAGACCTGAATGAATTATTATTATAAAATAAATATATGTAAAACTATGTAAGTTTAAATTAGACTTAAATTGAGATAATTTACGATAAAATGAGTGCGTATACTTTGAGTAAAATGCTAACTGTATCTGTACAATTCATATATTTATGTTAAAACCTATTATTTATTAATGCAATAATGAAAGTGCACTATAAAATTAATGTGTTGAGTGTTGTTACGTTTTCTTCCATTTAATAAAAGAGAATGTCAAGAGCGGTGGTTCATCCTGGGAAAAGAAGATAGCCATTGATCAAAGTTTAGTGGTGAGTGAAGGTGGCGAGTAGTGTGATGGTTGAGCATGGAGCACACCAACGGGGGCGGCCACCACCTCCATTACGCCCACATACTCTCACAACAGTTCAACCAACTCAATCTCTCATCCACAGGCCAACAGTTGGATCCTCAGGAACGAAATTATGGAGAAAGGAGCAGCGGCCATGGCCAAAGTCTGCAAAGCTACTCACCACAGCAGCTACAAGAACCCTTGCAAAATAGGCAGCAACAGCTGCAACAGCAACAGCAGCAACAACAGCAGCAGCAACAACAGCAACAACAGCAGCAGCAGCAGCAGCCACACCAACAACAGCAGCAACAGTTCTTTCATCAACACCAGGAACAGCTAAGCTATGGATCATCAGCTATGGCCCCTAAGACCCAGTCTCTCTTAGGGACAGCCCACATCTCTTCTGCTCATCACCAATACTCCCCCACTAATCTTGGTCGTCTAGGCTTACAGTCCTCACATATAACGCCCGAAATATCACAAACTTCCTCTCCCATGCAATCTATGTTGGGGACTGCTCATCTTGCCTCTTCATCTGTCACTTCCAGACCAAGTGAAGGTAACATAACTGCTGTTGTTTCACAGTCTTCGGTGCAGCCACGACTGGGAGGGGCACAGCTGGCACCCAGCTTACAAGGATCATTGAATCTTCAGGAGCAGCCTTCATCTTTGTCTTTCACGCCTTCGCTGCCCATGCAGGAACGCATGAGCTCATCTCAGCTGGGGTTGAGCTGGAATACTACTGCCGGTCAGTCTTCAGGGTATTCGCTACAAATGCACACAACCTCGCAGCCAATGAACCAAGATGGGAACCTTGGCATGCTGGCAGGAAACCAGTGTGGTTCGCAATTTGTCACTGGACGGATGTCTGCAGGAATTCATATGCAGGAGAGCTTACACTATCAAAGTCAAATGCAACTTAATAGCATGGAATATCCAGTTGCTCAGCAACATTACAGCAGCTACAATCAGGCTCAGGAATTTTCTCAAAACCCAAATAATTTTCAGTTTAATGTCAATTACATTGAGAGCTGTGATCCGAACTTATATGATGACTATTATTATGGAGACTACCAGTACAGCGACAGCTACAGTGGGTCAATGGAGAATCTGGATCAAAGTTATCTAGGAATACCAGCTGGACAAGCAACAACACCTTATGGAGATGAAACGGTGGAGGACCTCGGGCCAGAAGAGGTTCGATGGTTCTATAAAGTGGAAGCAGATAAAAAGTGGACTCCATTTATTGGTTACGATTCTCTTCGTATAGAGTGGAAATTCAGAGACTTGCTCCAAGATACTACATCAGGAGGGTCTGAAAATTCAACATATGGAAGTGTGGCAGGTAGTAGTTTGTCTCCAAAGGAAATTCAGGATGGGAAGTCTCGAGTCACGGAAAGAATTGTTGTTCGTGGAGGACTCTATGAGGTTGATGTGAAACAACGCAAGTGCGAAAGTATTTACTGGCAAGGTGAGCAGTGATTTATATTTGGCACATTATTGTTTATTCAAAATGCTTTCTCAGCTGTTACACTTATTGGTTTAATCATAAAACTGTTGCTTCTAGGTGAGGTTTTTATAATAAGTCGTGGAACGTGGTTTTATGATGGCACCTGGGGACCTGTGGAGGAGCAACTTGCTGACAGGATTGAGCTAGAGCATCTAACACACTTCAGAGGTCACCTTTTGTCTTCTCAGAGGGTGGATGACTCGACTAAAGAAGGTCAGCGACATATATGGCATGTCCAATTTTATGAGAGATAGTCATAATGCTATAGTTTTCTTTTGCAAGTTGTTAGTGCAGATGTTATTCTCAGTCTTGTATTTCAATAAAAAATATTGAAAATTAACCCTAGGGATGGCTGATAACTGCAGCAGTCATTAGCAGTAGATTTTTGAAAAAATACTCAAAATTCTTGTACTATTTCATTTTTCTTTTTTAGATTTCTGTTAAAATGATTTTAATTAATCTACTTAAATGTGCAGTTTATTATAATCTGCATTTAAAAATTAATACTAAGGGTTTTCTAATGAACTTGTTAGTCATTGAGTTTAGCTTAAATATGGGTTATGTAAATTCTCCATTGCTATGGGGGTTGTGCAATGGAGACACTTATATATTGGGTCATTGGTGAAAAAACTTGGGTAAGCAGGCCTTACCTAATGCAGCACACCCAAACCAAACTTAACCTAGAAAAGGAGCAATTTTAGGTTAGGTTAGGTGGGTTGAATTATATTACGTTAAGTTTTGTTACCGGAAATACTTTAATCTAATTTATCGAAAGCTAAAGTCGCAGTTGCACAACTCCCATGTTAAAAAATACATAAAAATACTAGCAGATAAAAACATTTGATCAATTTTTTAATTGTTGTATTTTAATGACTACTGTTTATAATGTATTAAGAATTTTGGTACAGGGTGTAAGTGTGACTGAAAATGAAAAGGGAGGAGAATAAAAAAAATGTGAAAAAAAATAAAGGCATACTCTACCATATTGGATTTTTACATACATTTTTCCTTTATTTCATTGCAGTATTGCACTGCTTGTCACTTCCTGAGGGTGAAGTAGATTGGTTTAGTGCTTCACAGGTTTACCTCACATCAGATGCTACACCTTCACGACTCATGCGCTCCGTCGGCAAGAAGTTAGGCTTCCAGAAGAGTGAGTTTTCTATAGTTAACCTGTGGAAAAATATTGATGACTAATAAGATTAAATAAATTTTTAATCTTTTAATTAATACTTGGTCTTTGCAATAATGTTCTCTATTAATTCTTAAAAAAACCAGCTGTCTCTCACCAAGGTAAGGGGTCCCCCCCCCCAAAAAAAAAAAAAATATTGACTATCATTCATTTACTGTCTTGCCGAAAACATGCAGATATCGCAGTTCAAATGGCCTTTTGAAATGCAGCATCCTCAGTCCTCCTTTTGAGTGAAAGTACGTACTGCACTTCCCACCTCCAGGATTTAAGTCCAGCTGATCATTTTTAAATCATAGAAGGTAATTACATAAAGGGTTCTAAGAAGCAAGATTGCCGATCACTTAGGTACCCATCAGTTGCACAACCGAGGGCAGCATGGGTTTGGAGCAGGTTGCTCCTGCCTCTTTCAGCTACTGGACTTGATGACAAAATGCAGATGTAGTATACACAGGTTTTGTGAAAGCCTTCGCCAAGTGCGATCATGGCATAATAGCACACAAAATGTATGATAAAGAACAACAGGAAAAGTGAGTAGATATATTCAAATAGGTCTAGTCGTGGACCTGGGCACAGGGCGTTGACCCCCGGAACACCCTCCAGGTGTATTCAGGTACATGTACTTAAACATATTTGATGGATGATTTTTTTTTATACTGTACACACTCGCTGAACAAACCCATTCTCTCATGTCTAGGCCAAAATTTACTGCTCATAGCTTATCTGAGTAAGCTGATCTCACAACATAGAACTACAGTAGAGACCCTGGCATGAGTGACAAATTTCAACGTGATGGCCACTGAAAGAGCTAAAGGACCCCAGTGGAAATAAAGCTCCCAATTTTATTGCGCTATCCAAGGTGGATAACTTTTTGGGTTAAAAATCTGAACAAAATCTTCTCTTGCACTTACCTGCTAGTCTTTCTTCGCCACACTTATTCTTTCTACTCTGCTTTTCTTTCAAATTGACTCGAAAGTACAGTACTATTGTTTATAAAGTTTACTTTCATTCACACCATCTTATGCCTTACTCAAATAATTTTTAGTCTAAATTTTTCCATATTTTACATCCTCGGTGGTTCTTCCTGCCCTACCAGATGTAGGCCAAGGCACCCTTAATGTCTTGACTACAGTAATCTAAATGTTACACATCAAGTTAGGTGTTGGGACTTGGGAGTGATGTCGGCATGTTTATTTTCTTTAAAAACTTAAAATGCTAAGTATTTATGTGAAAAAATGAGAAAATTGTATTTAATTTTTTAAAATTTGTTTTTTCATAAATAAAAAGTGCTTTAAAGTTGGCTTTTCTTGGTTTAGATATCTCTGTATCACTTTTTTTGTGCTATCAGTGGTACATTACAAGGCAATGAATAAGTATGAACATTGCTTCCACCCTCACATCTCGTATGCTTCTCTTCCTTCTCTTCTAGCAGTGCTAATAAATTTCCCAAAAATATCTACACAGTAGATTGTAATGTTAGATTTTTACCCCAAGCTGGCTACAAGCTAAACAGAGGCTACAGCATTGATGCTACATCGAGTGATAAGCCGCCTGATATCAACCACATTGTGTTTGTCATCCATGGCATTGGACAGAAGATGGAGCGTGGACGCATCATCAAAAACACGACTGCGTGAGGAAACTTAATCAGATTTCTTTGAGACAGTCCAGTTTATAAATTCAATACATAATTGCGTCTTCTAAGTTGCCTAATGGAGATCATTGTTAAAGAGTATTTTTCCTATTTTTTCTTATATAAATGGCAATGTGAGTACCATTATGTTTTAAGATGTGTTGTCAAATGCTGAATGCTTCTTGATTCTATTTTTCCTTGCAGCCTGAGGGAGAATATTAGTTTTCTCAAGCAAAAGTATTTCCCTAACATCGTCAAAACGAGCAACACAGTGGAATTTTTTCCTGTGGAGTGGCGGTCATCATTGGTCTTAGATGCTGGTATTATTGACTCCATCACACCCCAAAAAATTCTAAACATACGGCAAATGCTGAATGCATCCTTTATGGACATAATGTACTACAACAGCCCATTGTATAGAGAGGAGGTTTGTGAATCTGTTTACTGTGCTGTAGGAATTTTGAATACTGTATATCCTGTAGATACAATACAGGACTTTGTCAATTTATCTTGTTTCTTTTTCACTTGTTCACTCTGTTTTTCTTGTTATTTTGCTTTTGCCCTTATTTTTTCAAAAATTTTTTTTTTGCTCGCTTTCTTGCTCTTATGCTTTCTTTTGTTTGCTCCTACTCTTGCTGTTTTGCTTGCACTCTCGCTTGGTCTGTTTCTCACTCTCATTCACTCATTCTCATTCTTTTTTCTTCTCTCCTTTATAATCTTTGAAGCCTTTTGGTAAAATTTCAATATAGAAAACCCTAGATTTAGAGGACATTTGGACTGTGGGACTGTCTTAACGTTACTGTTGGGAAAAGTGCATCCAAAAAAAGTTATAGCATAATAGTAATTATTTTCTTGCTTTGCGGATGTTCATGAAATTAAGTGTGTGAAATTTGGGTAGTTCCCTCTAGATTTTCTAATTGACTCACTGGGCCTCAAACAGTGTCCCTTCATCCTCACCTGCTGGGCCACGAGTAGTGCATTCCCAGCCATTTTTCTTAGCAAAACATGTACACTAGGCAGCCTTATTCTTACCTTATGTTTTCTAACTTAATATAATTACACTACATATTCGGGCGAGATATAAGCGACTATTGGCAGAAAGGTGGGCTAGTGCAAAGATGAGTAGTGGGGGGGGGTTGAAGAGGGTTGGAATAGTTTTAAAAATGCAGTATTAGAATGTGGGGCAGAAGTTTGTGGTTATAGGAGGGTGGGGGCAGGAGGAAAGAGGAGTGATTGGTGGAATGATGAAGTAAAGGGTGTGATAAAAGAGAAAAAGGTAGCTTACGAGAGGTTTTTACAAAGCAGAAGTGTTATAAGAAGAGCAGAGTATATGGAGAGTAAAAGAAAGGTGAAGAGAGCGGTGAGAGAGTGCAAAAGGAGAGCAGATGAAAGAGTGGGAGAGGCACTGTCAAGAAATTTTAATGAAAATAAGAAAAAATTTTGGAGCGAGTTAAACAAATTAAGAAAGCCTAGGGAAAGTATGGATTTGTCAGTTAAAAACAGAGTAGGGGAGTTAGTAGATGGGGAGAGGGAGGTATTAGGTAGATGGCGAGAATATTTTGAGGAACTTTTAAATGTTGAAGAAAGGGAGGCGGTAATTTCATGCACTGGCCAGGGAGGTATACCATCTTTTAGGAGTGAAGAAGAGCAAATGTAAGTGTGGTGGAGGTACGTGAGGCATTACGTAGAATGAAAGGGGGTAAAGCAGCTGGAACTGATGGGATCATGACAGAAATGTTAAAAGCAGGGGGGGATATAGTGTTGGAGTGGTTGGTACTTTTGTTTAATAAATGTATGAAAGAGGGGAAGGTACCTAGGGATTGGCAGAGAGCATGTATAGTCCCTTTATATAAAGGGAAAGGGGACAAAAGAGATTGTAAAAATTATAGAGGAATAAGTTTACTGAGTATACCAGGAAAAGTATACGGTAGGGTTATAATTGAAAGAATTAGAGGTAAGACAGAATGTAGGATTGCAGATGAGCAGGAGGCTTCAGAGTGGGTGGGGGATGTGTAGATCAAGTGTTTACATTGAAGCATATATGTGAACAGTATTTAGATAAAGGTAGGGAAGTTTTTATTGCATTTATGGATTTAGAAAAGGCATATGATAGAGTGGATAGAGGAGCAATGTGGCAGAAGTTGCAAGTATATGGAATAGGTGGTAAGTTACTAAATGCTGTAAAGAGCTTTTATGAGGATAGTGAGGCTCAGGTTAGGGTGTGTAGAAGAGAGGGAGAATACTTCCCGGTAAAAGTAGGTCTTAGACAGGGATGTGTAATGTCACCATGGTTGTTTAATATATTTATAGATGGGGTTGTAAAAGAAGTAAATGCTAGGGTGTTCGGGAGAGGGGTGGGATTAATTTATGGGGAATCAAATTCAAAATGGGAATTGACACAGTTACTTTTTGCTGATGATACTGTGCTTAGGGGAGATTCTAAAGAAAAATTGCAAAGGTTAGTAGATGAGTTTGAGAATGTGTGTAAAGGTAGAAAGTTGAAAGTGAACATAGAAAAGAGTAAGGTGATGAGGGTATCAAATGATTTAGATAAAGAAAAATTGGATATCAAATTGGGGAGGAGGAGTATGGAAGAAGTGAATGTTTTCAGATACTTGGGAGTTGACGTGTCGGCGGATGGATTTATGAAGGATGAGGTTAATCATAGAATTGATGAGGGAAAAAAGGTGAGTGGTGCGTTGAGGTATATGTGGAGTCAAAAAACGTTATCTATGGTGGCAAAGAAGGGAATGTATGAAGGTATAGTAGTACCAACACTCTTATATGGATGTGAAGCTTGGGTGGTAAATGCAGCAGCGAGGAGACGGTTGGAGGCAGTGGAGATGTCCTGTCTAAGGGCAGTGTGTGGTGTAAATATTATGCAGAAAATTCGGAGTGTGGAAATTAGGAGAAGGTGTGGAGTTTAATAAAAGCATTAGTCAGAGGGCAGAAGAGGGGTTGTTGAGGTGGTTTGGTCATTTAGAGAGAATGGATCAAAGTAGAATGACATGGAAAGCATATAAATCTATAGAGGAAGGAAGGAGGGGTAGGGGTCGTCCTCGAAAGGGTTGGAAAGAGGGGGTAAAGGAGGTTTTGTGGGCGAGGGGCTTGGACTTCCAGCAAGCGTGCATGAGCGTGTTAGATAGGAGTGAATGGAGACGAATGATACTTGGGACCTGACGATCTGTTGGAGTGTGAGCAGGGTAATATTTAGTGAAGGGATTCAGGGAAACCGGTTATTTTCATATAGTCGGACTTGAGTCCTGGAAATGGGAAGTACAATGCCTGCACTTTAAAGGAGGGGTTTGGGATATTGGCAGTTTGGAGGGGTATGTTGTGTATCTTTATACGTATATGCTTCTAAACTGTTGTATTCTGAGCACCTCTGCAAAAGCAGTGATAATGTGTGAGTGTGGTGAAAGTGTTGAATGATGATGAAAGTATTTTCTTTTTGGGGATTTTCTTTCTTTTTTGGGTCACCCTGCCTCGGTGGGAGATGGCCGACTTGTTAAAAAAAAAAAAAAAAAAAAAAAAATAGTCCTGTGCCCTTATCAGTGATATCCCTACCCTAGCTCTGTTTAGTTATTGAACATTTTGGTGAGTGATAATAGCAAAGAATTGTTTTAAGCAAGAAGGTTTTATAGTCGAGTCATGATGTTGGCTGAGGTGCAGTTGTGTCAGTCAGCTGACCACCCAAATACGTTGCATATGTAGAGATTAACCCACATTTTATTAGGTAAGGCTAAGTATTGTTTATTTGGTTAATAACATGAGTGAAGATGCATGGAGAAATCATCTATTTTAGTGCATTATAGTAAAGAAAATTAGCTTGTACAATGTTGACTTGTTGAGGGGATCTAGCTGATATCTCACTGGGAAGCAGACAAAACATAGTAAGTTGTGAGGTTTTGTAAGTCCTCTACAAATTTGCTGTCTCCTACATTTGTCTATTAATATTTATTCTTTGGCTTTGCTCTTGTATGCATTTATTGTTGGTATGTTTATTTGTATGGATGTGGTATAATTTGTAAATGAAATGTGGCTTTTATTTGCACTATGTTTATATGTAGTGAGTATGTTAGTTGATAAATCTTGCTATATTATCTAGCTCCACACAGCAGACCCAGATTAACCCTCTTTATACATTCCAAATGATTTAACAAATAGCGATTGGCTAATTTTGTGGTTTCTGGAATGTAATCCTGTTTTTCCCATTTTTTTCACATCAGTTAGTGCTATTTTTTATTTGATGTCAATTTTCAGGAATGTAATCCCCTTTGTTAATAGAAAATTTATTTATATTTTATTAGTAAGGTATATTTAAGGAAGCAACTCCTTATTAACTTCTTGTCGGGGTCATTTGTGTTTTTGTTAGTCAATACACCATACCAAAATTATGCTTCTGTATAGGGTTTTCAAGGAACTAGGCTTATGATAGGGTACCTGATGTTATTTAGTCCTTCAAAATGAGGAAATTGTGAAAATTTATGGTTATGGACATGAGATGCTCAGATTTTCAGGTTTGTAGAAGACTATGACAACTTTATTCTTATTATTAACCCAGGATAACCCAGAAATCCAGTCATTGTGGCTTTTTTCTATTGAGGTCTAGTATCTAGTATGCAACACTACCACTTCACCCAAGCCCCTACTTACTGCTAGGCACACAGGGGAGGAGGTGTAAGGAGACTTGCCCAACATTTCACCCACTCCTGGGTTGAACTTGGGTTTTTTGGTCATGAGTGAAAGGTGCTACCATTTTAGCCAGAAGCCTCCACATAATCTATAAGTCCCTGTACATACCGGGTGTAGTGATTGGTAAGTAATTGGAAATTCAGAAAGTAGGATTGCAAATGAACAATAGAATTAGAAAGGAAGAGGTGTGTGGACAAATTGTTTACATTGAATCAAATAATTGAGCACTGCTTCAGTAAGGTTATATTAACTGTTTGATACATATGTGGATTTGGAAAGTGTATGAGGGTGATTAAGGGAGAGATAGGGAAGCAGTGCAAATATATGGGATAGGTAGTAAGATGTGGAAAGTTGTATGAGATGTTAGGAAAAGTTGTGTAGAAAGAAAATGGGCTGCCAGTGAGAGTGAGACTTGGATAGTCATGTGTGATGTTTCAGTCAAAGATAATGTATTTGATATAAAGTGGAAGGTATCACAATTGTTTGTTAGCAACAGTTCCCTTCAAGGGATGTTTCCAGTGAGAAGCTGTTGATCCATCGAATTTGATCTGATCTTCTCTTGGATCAAACCTGATACCTTCCCTTTTCCCCGAAGTGCTGTATAACCCTCCAGGTTTACTGCTTCACCCCCACCCCCTCCTTCTCCCATGAATGTAATGATAATAACATTACAGATAATTGTGCTGTTGTAAGATTCTAAAGATGCTGCTGGAGCTGGTATATATGAGTGTG